CAATAAAAATATTTCAAATGCGACTGTAGCTTTTTTCCCCAAAACTTTGTCTTTAAAATAAGGGTGCGTCTTATATTATGAAAAATACAGTAAGTATCAGTAACAAAAACAAAACAAACATATTTTTAATTGTTTTTAAAAAAAATGTATCACAATGAAATCTTTCTGAATTTTCAAAGCTGCAAATTCATACAAATATTACATATAAAATAAGATATTTTATCTGTAAAGATCTTATCTCAGGTTTCATACTCTTTCATCCAGTATTTTGTTTGTGAATGCAATAAAAGAAACCATACAACAGATACTTTAAACTGATACACTTATTAGTTAAAATATGAGAGTTCAACAATCAACAAAAATGTCATAAAAGAAAGATAAGAATCTAGTGTAAATTATACAGGTACATCATGGGTGTTTAGTCTGAAGAAAGCATAAAACTATTATAGTGTTATTTGTTGTGTCCAATATCTAAAATGGTTAAGCTGAAGAATCCTATGATAAGTTAATGAAACTGAATAAATGTAAAGAACAGAATGTTCTATTAGCACTAACATGCAAACCACAAATTGAATAATAATAATTCACTGCACAAGAGCAGAGATGATAAATTTCAGCAAAATGTTAAGGGAAATGTGATAATATTAGGTGGCAAATACAACACTATTAAACTAAAACACACACACACACTAATTCTCAGTAAATTTTACTTGATTATAACATCAAAAATGGAGGGAGATAGGGATAATTATTTTTGACAGCATTCTTAGGAAATCTATAAAATGCATTCAATGATAATTAAGAATTTATCCAGATATCAAACATTAAATTCTTCATGTACACACACTTTAAATTTGCAATTATGGTAAATTTGAAATAATGTTCATTGCTACACACAGATGTTGTGACCAAGTGCAGAAAAAAAAACATCAACTAAACAAACAGGTATAAAACAGCTTATTCAAAAATACAAAATGCAAAAAATGAAGTATAGTAAAGAAACATACATCGTCAACATTAGAACTTAGAAATTAGTGGAATTTGATAATTGATTAATTGCTGAGCTCATTAACTGATTACATTCAACTCACTGACTCTTCTCACATGACTTGTATAGTTGGAATAATAAAAAAATAGTGATGACCAGAAACACTATTTCAGTTAACTGGTTATTTTTATGAGTCGTGGCACTAAATGATTAAGCTGAATAACATTTAATTAGTCAAAAATAATAATGAGAAATCACAATGACAATATTTGAATTATTGAATAGTTGAAAACAGTAATTATCAGAAACACTAATTTCAATTAGCTGAACATTATTTTATGTTAATTTTGATTAATAAATTATTTTATGTGATATTAACTCTTTAAGCACAGACTCAGTCCCTGGGACCAACCTCATAACCATTTTGTGCTTGTTAAAGTTTTCATGCTATAACATTTAAATTATTAAGCATAAGTTCATGAAATTTGGCAGATTATTAGTAAGCATTACAAGGCTTTCATACACAAAATATCAAATTTTTTAAATTAAGTCTTGAGGTTTGTAAAGCAATGTTTTTCTCATGCCTTTTTTTCTTTTCACATGTTGCCTATCCAACATGCAAAGTAATTTTTAAGATTAAAAATACTTTTGTGTATCGGAAAATTTTCAAATTTCACATTCGAAATACTTATAATGTCCAGATAGTTCTAACGTTTTAGAAAAGACTATTTTACAGCTATTTTCAATAACAAATCTCTATGGGTTTAGTTGATTTGACTGATCTCAAAACCACCAAAAGAATTAGGAAAAATATAAATTATGCAAATTTATACAAGTTTAGTATGATGATTTGTTTCTTGCTACTTGTTTCTGAAAATTGATTTTGATATAGCAACTCAATTAAAAAAAAAACGTACTTTATATGTTACATAACTATGAAAAAGATAAATACATACTATTTCAAAAATTGAACAGCATTGAACACACCCATACATTTAGTTAATGGTCAAACTTTACAAAAAATATTTATTATTCGTAGTGAGAAAATAACAGACATGCCACACATTTTCCTGCTATTGCCTCATTTGTAACCTCAGTGTTTTGAAGCAAATACTAAAATACCATTCTTGAATACCATTTATATCAACTTCTGTGCTACGATCACGATAACCTTCTCACTTTAAATGTAATCCATTCAACAACAAACATTTCAAATGATGAAAGTTCTCATTTTACAAATTTTGCAAATTAATAGATAAACATTTTAACACAAACATAATAGCTTTAAAAGTTTGATTGTATTTTCTTTAAAACACAAAAATATTTTAATTTTTTAAAATTAAGAACAGTGTTTATACATACAAAATTAACTCATTTAAAAATGTTTACTATTTTCATATTTAATATTTTGCTTCTACAGAAATTAAACTACTAGGTAATGAAATAATGACATACTATTGTGAAAAGTTACCTACTATAACAGAAAGGTACTAGTTCGTATTTTGTAGCCAAACAAGATACTGTATCAGGACAAGACTTTTTTGCTATTATCTTATTGCATTTATTTTACAATATAAACTTTTCACTCAGCCTAACAGTAAAAACACTAATAGAAATGAACTTTATCAAAAAAATATTACTTACTAGGACTTTCCCTTAACAAGTAGTCCTACATGCTCGGGTCTGGGGATAAAAAAAAAACATTCACACATTATGCTACTGCTCAGGATACCACATTGTAAATCAAGCTGACTTTTTACTTCAACCTCAGAGCGCTGTGGAAAAAATTTCTTCAAACAAGTGTCAGGTTCACAACTTTCATCACAGAAAAGCAAGTTTGTAAAAATATTTTAAAGATGTTATACCACAGAAAATTAATTCACAAAATATTTTATTTTTAAATAAATTAATAAGTGACATTAAAACAGTTTTAAAATGCATATTAAATAAACATTAAATTTCAATATGAAATTGACTACTTCACTATCCAGACTGCTCAAATGATGGGGAAAAAAAACTGCTCTATTCAAAGTCATGTAAAGCAACATAAATACAATACCTAAACAAAAGACTTGTACAAAAAATAATGAACTATTCAAATATGGGTTAAGTACTGTATACATGCATGTGTGAAATGCCATATTTAAGGTATGTTAAAGCAAACTTTCAAACCATCACATGTAACTTTCACATTTCAATTTTTTAGCATTACTTCATGAATTAATTACAAAAAGTAACCACAATAATGGGTTTTCAAAAACAAAGTTCTTAACATTTCTTATCAGAAGAATGGGGCAATATAATGCACATCTATGCTGTTGAAAGATTGTAACAAAACATATCATGACATACCCCACAAACAATACATGTTAACTTCATAATCAGTTCAATAAGTTACTGTCTCACAAATAAGGGGGTTGCTCCCAAGGAGTCAAGAAAACTAAAGTTTTACTTTTTTTAGGCTAAACTAGATGTTCCAAAGCTTACAATTTAAAAACTAACTTCACATTATAAACTTCCAAAATAATTATCATTCTTTATAAACACTTTACTGAGAGGGCATCCATGATAGCAATATACAGCTAATCATATGCTAGTTCCCAAACACATTACTATAAATTTAACTTGCAAAAGCTAATACTTTTATATCAAATCAGATTTAAATTTTTGAGGATATAAAAGTATGTTACAATCAGCTTCAATACAAGTTAAACTTTTATACTTAACATCAATTTCAGTAGCTATGATCAAGTCTGAGATTATAATAGTAATTGATTTGATTTTGGATACTCGGTGCAGACCTGACCTCCACTCTAGGTATCAGTGATATAGCATTCAAAGCTAAGAAAAAAGTTAAATGTACTTAACTCTTTCACTATGGGCTCAGTCTCAGGGACCAACCTCAATTATTTTGTGCTTGTTATAGTTTTCATACTATAACTTTTGATACAGTATGTATCTTCACAAAATTTAGCAGACTGTTAGTAAAGATTACATGTCATTTGTATACAAAAAATCAGTTTATTTAATAAGTAATTTTACTAAAGATTTGTCTGTGGATATATTGAATCTTTTTTTTTGACTAGTACAAGTGCAAAGTGAATTTTAAATTAAGATTAAAAATATTTTCTTTGTCTCAAAAACCTTAACTTTCATTTGTGTAACCTTTAAGACCTTTTAAATAAATATTAAAATTTATAACTTTACATTTGATTTTCTCCATCTTACTTCTGTACAGGTTTGGTCAATTTGACCAACCTTGTAACCACCAATGAGAAACTACATGAGAAAATATTGGATCATGAGACTTCAATGTTAAGAATCTTCACCTTACTAAACAGTAGAAATCTCAGTTCAAAATAAATAAACAAAAAAATTTAAGAAAATTATTCATTGACACAACCAAGCTATAAAAAGGTCAGTTCATGAAATGCAAAGTTAGTTCATATAAATGGAGCCTTCATGTACCATGAAAGACAAAAAGTATTACCACACTTTATATTGTTAAATGTGTATTGATTTAGCATCTTAGTTATCAAAAAAAGTAATAAGAATATAAATATCTATACTATTATTCTCCTTGTTTATATGTACAACCGTTATGCTTTCTGACTGAGAACCTGCTGTATAAGCATGCATAGTTAGAATGTTTCCCCAAGAAAAACTGCGCATGTGCATTATTCACTCGAAGACAAATAGTATGCCTGCAGCAGAGCTACTAAGCTCAGTGATCAAATCCCTACAATTGCTGTATGAAACAAGAAGTAACAAAAGGGGAATGTAAATATACTTTACTAACCATTTTGTACAACAGAATATTAAAAACTTATCAAAGTTGATGTTAGGTCGGGGAATAACATTACAAGTTTATTTATCGATAGTATATTAAGTACAGTAAAGTTGATAAAGTATGGCCTATGTACAAGTGGATTGTTGTCTACGATCACAATTTGTTTAAATTGTACTAGAAATGTTATATTTAAAGATATATTGCTACGATAAAGATACTAATTTCGCCATAAATGTTTTGCGGGTCTTTGCTAGTCTGCATTTAGGTTTGGTAACCCTCTTAGTTTGAAAATAGTGTATTGGTATTAAAGTAACAATTGGTATATTGTGTAATGCAGGAAAATTAGGGATTTTCACTAACAAGCACAGTATAGTGAAATTTTAAATAAAACAAAAGGGGTAATAGAATAGTTTATCCACGAAGCACTGTTCAGAAGGCTCAAAAAATGTAGCTTTCCTGTCATGAATTTTAGTAGCTAAATCACTGTTACCAAATGGTCAAATTAGGAAACTTTTTTTTTCAACATAAACATTAATAATGAATTATCACTTTTCTAGAAAAATTTTTTTAAATAACTTTAGGCTAGCACACTATATAGAAATTGAGCTCATTTTAAGTTAACCAAGTCCAGATACCTGATTTCAGATTCAGATTCAAGAAACACCAAATAATTCAGGATAAAACTGCTAAGCAAATGTTCATATTTGTGAGCACATTGACAGAAGACAATAATATTGCATATACATTAATACAATGTTGTAAGCTAAAATTAAATTCAACTTAACTTCCTGAAGTGTGTACTTTTGTGTACATTCTATATTAATATCTAATATACCGATAGTAACAGTTTGTCCTGAAAATGCACTTGCATCTTACTGTATAAATGCACATGTGCATGTCCTTCATTTCCACAGATGTAAGCAAAAGGCAGGTAAATCTACTTTAGTTATTTTGTACATATTGAGAGCTTAATTTTTAAAAAATCTAAAGTTAGGTTAACTTATAGAATAACATTATAAGTTTATGTATTGATAGTATTAAGTACAGTAAGGTTTAGCTCTCACTAAAGCAAAAACATACTAATGTTAGGCCTATGACAATGGACTTGAATTTGAGTCTCCACAATTAAAATTATTTTGTATTACTCTAGTAATCCTTATTTAAAGAAGCACTCTTGCAACAGTCAAACTTTACTACAAATGTTTTGCGAGTCTCTGCTAGTTTACATAATTTAACATTTTATAACATTAACACTTAGTTCCACAAATATTACAAGATTTTTGCAGCCCAAATTTTTTTTACAGTATCAGTACCACTAGTAAAGTGCCTCGAGCCTGTTAACCCTACATCTACACATTCTACACTACCATTCAATAATTCACCATATTTTTTTGCCAGTTACATATAGCATTGATAGTTTCTGCATGACTGATAATATAAATACGGCCTTATTAAGAAGCATTAGGTTGCCAATCATGTATACTAAATCATAAATTTAAGATAATATTAAATAACTTGTTTTGCATGCATAACATTAATAGTTCACAAAATATCTTCAATTCTGTAACTAAGTTATTACCATGTTCATCAAATGGTTATTGCAATGCTTAAGACATGAATTATTTTCAAAATTTTAAAACATTATTGTAAAATTATCTGAGGAGCCCTTTACACAAATATATTAAGAATCAAACATTCAATTTAAATTATTTGGGCATTTTAGAAATATACTAGCAATAGGCAAATGCTATATGTAATACCATATTTTTATCTGAGGGTGGTTTTCACACTTACAAATTACATCAATGAAGAAAGTGGGTCATATTCTAGACTTTGTTAAAAAAATCCAGTTATAACAAAGTTCTCCAACTAGACCCCACTATTTGTAAATTTTGGAGTTACATAATGCCAAGATTTTTGTAAAACAAAAGACGTTTATCAATATCATGCTTAGTGTTAAAACGGTTAGGTAAGATTGTAAATTTCTCTTGGCCTTGAATTTAATTTAAGTCTGTAAACGTAACCATTCTACATTTCTTGTACTTCGCAGTGCTGAAACTTGCAGAACCAGTTTTTCAATTACTCCTGGTCCTACCCTTGAGCTTTACATTGAACTGTTATTATGGAAATTCATTCAAATTCTTAAAATACAAGTTACAGTTATAATCTTGAGACTTAAACTTGTATTTATAAGCTTTTGTGCTACCACAAATACTATACATGTTATGTTATAATATAAATATAGTATACTTGAGTAAGGAAGCACATTATGCTAATATAACAATAAGTAGGCAAACAATGATTTATAAGCATGAGGAAGTTTTATTCATGTTGTAACATATTGCATGTTTTAACAGAACATTGGCCTGCAATCCAAGGTTTATACATCATTACAAAGAGGATATAATTATCACCAGTATGTACATGAAACCCCATTCTGTCACCATGCCACCACACACAAGATCTAATCACCACCTATCACAGAAAATATCCTCCTACTTCACCTACATAATTCGTGCTATACAACTTTGCACCCACAAAAATCTTACTTGACCTATTTTAAGAACATAGCACTATGTAGAGGTTTTAACCCCAATTTCATAGACAAGGCTTGTATCAAACTTCAAAACAGCAACAAATATTATGTTAACTCTAACCTTTCACCTATCGACAACACAAAACACAAATTTGTTTCATTCTCTTTTGTGCCAGAAATTGCTAAGAAAATTACTAGACTTCTTAATAATTTGAATATTGATGTAAAAACTGAATTCAAACCCTCATCTAAATGATAAAATTAACATCTTACTACCTAACACAAACGAATCCCTATTAAAAGAACAAAAACAGGGAATATACAGTATCCCATGTGAAATGTGGAAATAAATACATAGGACAAACGTCACGTCTCTCAGAAACAATACACAAAGAACATCAAAATCACATGCGTAGAGGCAATTTCCACTTACACGCTTTAACTGTATTAACATGTCATATATGAAACAGGTCACAAAATTCTTCTCCTACACCAACCTAAAATGGCCCCAGCAACATCAGCAGTATTTGGCAAGATCTATTCACCGTTCATACTCTTGACCAGACTTAACCTCTACCTATATCCTGTGACTTGCTAACACTATTTCCGTCACATTTAATTTTAATCCCTATTGTCTTCGTAACAATATATAAACCTTGGATTGGTTAGTACTGATTATACCAATAAAAAAAAAAAGACCAATGTTCTGTCGAAACATATAATATGGTATAATGGCTGGAGACGGCTTGAATGGGTAAGGAAGAAAAACTTTAATATAACAGCAAATGTACAACGTTTCGACAAGGTTTTGTCATCATCTTGTACCTAATGATGACAAAAC